CCTCTTAGGAAAGCATATTGCTTAATTAAAATCCCTTTGATAATACAAGAGTAAAATGTCACAGCTCTCCTATGCAACTTCTCCAGTAAAATTTGTTTATTTAACCACCCAATCACTGGCCTTGTTGTTCCATTGAATCAAATCTATCCATATTTGCCACAGCTTGCTAATACCAAGTAATTACGTAATGCATATTGTAGACCAAAGAATCATGGAAATGTTATTCTGGGATTAGCCCACTTGTCAAATCATGGTTCTGCCTTCTATGCAGGCTAAGCCATGCTGTGTTGAAAATGTGAGCACTTGCATTTGTGGAAAGAGTGAAAGTGTATCAGTGTTCTGAAAGTAGTTATTATAATAAATTATAACCGGCCAATCAGGTGATGTATTATAGAAACTTATTCAGGAGCATGACTAATTATGGTTGGCTGTTTAGAAAAAAGTGTAAACTAGGGAGATTGGGAATAAGTAGAGGCCACATTGTACAGCAGCATTTAGTGATTTAGTTATTTATGTATGTATATACGCATGTATGTATGTATGTATATATGTTATGGCATAATTTTTTAAGTGTTGAAGACACTTTAACACTTACTGCTCAAGACGACTCGATCACAAAGAAATTTTGCATGAACTATGAGCAAGACGAATTTTGTTTAATTTAGCACAAATGAAGACAATCCATGACCTTTAAACGACCCCTATGCCTAAACTCGACTGTTTGGCACTTTTCATTGCATTGATGCAGCTGAGCAAGCACCACAAGAAGTGGCAGCTGAGTTGACTTGTGTGACCCTGTTGCCCTCTCTTCTTCTGAATTTCAAGCAACGAATCTGTGCTGTTTTAAGCATTTTTTGACACTGAAGTTTGTCAGATGCTATGCTGAGAAGACTCCTTAAAAGTGGGCAATAAGGAGCTTTCATAAACATTTAGGGAGATTTCAGATTTTGCCTCCTGTTTTCTTATTTAAATGACATTTTAGTCGCACCTTTTGACCAGTTTCTACTCAAGCTGAACATTAATTAAATCGTAGTTATTCCTATCAATAAAAATGACCACTTTGTCCCAGATTAATCATACAGGTAGAATGCTAAAGTGTTGTTAGTTATGGCTCAGGAGGATCTTACTTGTCAGAAAATGATTAGTAGGCCACATCCAATTGAGTCCTGTGCATGTGTGCAATCACGCCTAAACAAATGAGATTAAACTCAGTCACAACTCGCTGATTATTTGGGCATGTGACTCTGTGCGTATGTGTGTAGGCTGAGCATGAAAGAGAGAGAAAGTGAGAGAGGCACGCACAACAAACCCCCCTCTAAAAAATGTAAACTTACCACTGCACCTCCACTCAGTGATACTTTGAGCTCTTTCACTTCATATTCCATATATATATATATATAATCTTCCAACTACCAACCACTCATAGACTGCATCCCTTCATCTTTAATAACAAGGCTCCCACACCCCCTGCTGGTTAACACACCTTGTCTTTCATGTATAAAAGTGAAAAGGCTGGACGTTTGCAAGCATTTAACAAAATTAGGGAAACTCACCATTTAAAGAGGGCAATTTATAACGCAATTACAAAAACAGTAATATGGAAAACAAGAAAATACATTTTAAAGCACAGTATCAGGCTTGGGAATCTAAGGAACAATTTGTAAAAGACGGATAGTTGCATGCTTTAACTATAGTCATTGAATTTATCAAGATAAGCAATTCAGCTTCAATGTACGGTGTAACACTGTATTTTTGAGCTTTTTACAATTTATAAATTAACAACGAGCCATTTCATTAACAGCAGGCCATTTTGATTCCACTTTACAATATCCCTGGAAGTTCACCAATAACAAAAACCCACATCAAAACAAACAAAAGACCAACTGATGCTTTCCTGACAAACATTATATCTGTTTTCAGACACAATCATACTGTCAACTGGAGCTTCTGCATGGAAAATAATTTTTAGTCTAGGGCTTGGTGTTTGTCCACAGGATGGTCTGTAAAACTGAAATGGCGGGGTACAATAAAAATATTTTAATATTCTACATGCTTCCATGGTGGTAATTTTTTTTTTTAGTAGGTGTCATTTGCGGTGCCATATCTTACCAGGTTGCCTAGTCTTTTGAATTGTGTGTTTTGTTAATACTTCTGGCTCTGCACTGCCTCAGGCCTGTACAGTTGAGATGGTAAGGATTTACAAATTCAAGCTTATCTGAAAATTTAAAAATTACCTGTGAATAGTTGAGTCCCCAATTCAAGTTGATACTGAAAATGTATGATGTCATATGTCTGAGTAAAATGACATTTTCTTAAAACATCCATGTCAAAATTATTCAATTTATATTCAGTATTGCTGACTTTTATATCATAGCTATAAAACTGGGCTCAACACAATTAAGCCTTTGGGATCTTTTTAATGACACTTAATTTGCTTCAGCTTTGATGCATATATATATAAATCCCACCCACACCTTCAGCAAACATGGCAAAGAAAAAGGATCTCTCATAACAGCTAAGACTAAAAATTATTTCATTTAACCAAAAAGGCAATGACTACTAGAAATTATCCCAGAAAAACTTGTTGGAAGTATCATAAGTAAGTTTAAAAGTCATGGTACTGCAGCAAACTTACCTGGACACGGAAGAAAGAGCAAAAATTCACCAAGAACAATCAGACATTTGAACAGAACAGCTGACAAAAACTCTCATATTACTGCCAAAAATGTGCAGTATGACCTGATGATGGCAGGAACAAAAGTATTAGTGAACACGATAAGAAGAACACCATACAAGCAAGGACTTTATACTCAGACACCTTGCTGCACTCCATTCTTGGCAATGTCATGGAATTTAGGCCTGTGGAGTTCTGGGAGACAGTTTTATGAAGTGATAAAACTAGATTAGAACTGTATTGATCCATAGATCAGTGGTATGTGTGACGTAATAAAAGCAGGGCATATGACAAAAAAGAACACCATGGTCAAGCATGGAGGTGGGTCAGTCCTATTGTGGGGGTGTTTTGCTGCTGTAGGAACTGGCAGTCTTGACCGCATGACTGGCATTATAGATTCTTTGAAATACCAGGCCATTTTGGAGAAGAATGTGATGCCTTCTTACTTTCCAGCAAGACAATGATCCCAAGCATACGTCCAAGTCAGCCAAAGCTTGGTAGAGGGATCGGTCCTGGAATGTCCTTGAGTGGCCATCTCAGCCCCAGGATTTAAATCCCACTGAAAATCTGGAACATAATAGCACAGAAAACCACAAAATTCTAATGAGCTGGAAGCTTCTGCACTTGTGAGATGGTTAAAAATTCCAATGAAGAGATGGCAGAAACTTGTGAGCATCTACCAGAAATGTTTATTGGTGGTTATAAAGTAAAGGTTGCTTACGATGATGAGCCAATGGTAGTTGGCGCCCCCTGGTGCAGCAGCATTCAACTTAAATACAGTTACTTTTCTGTGTTATATGGAATGACAAAACCAACCTTTAGATCAGGGTAGCTGTACAAAAAGGTTTTGACCTTTTAATAAAGTAGGAGCAGTGGTGAAATTAGGATAATATTGCTTCAACCTCAGAGGTTGGCCCTGACCTTCTGGGCAACCTTCACTCTTTTGGAAACAGCTAACAATTTTTAATGCACAAAGAATGATTAACGTCCTTGTACGTACCAGTAAGAGAATTGTGTCCCGATATCAATATTTGATATTTTTCATGTATGTGTCATACATAAAATGAAAAAACTGAGACTACATTTACCTGGATTAGCATTACGGAGAAATTTACCATTCATACAAATACAGTACAATAAATAAAATTCAGACAGCACAGTTGCTTAACTGCGCTAAATGTCTGCTAACTTGTTGATCTTTTCTGATCTTCCCCTTCTATCAAGTTTGTGTTTCCTGCTTTATTAAGTCCTCCTTGGTTGTAACAAACAGTTGTTAATAAAAAAGGGGAAAAAATTCAGCTTCCATAATAAAATAAATACGTCACCAAATATTGGATTGAAATATCAGCCAATCACCTGCCAATATTGATGATACTGATATTATCGCATATTCTCTTTGAAATAAGGGAGAACTGGTACACAGTCTGTTGGATACCCTTTCCCAGATTCTTATACAGTGTACAAAGTGTTCTAATGTACCCTAAATATAAAAATATTGGCTGTTTTTAAACACCTAGCACAGAGCTATTTCAAGCTAGACAATTTTGGAAATATGACTGCAAAATTGGAATAGCGCTTGGAGTTCTGCAGTCCCTTTAAGTAGTAGAAGTCTACTGATAATGGCTGGATCTGTCCGAACTCATAGCAAAGCCGGTGTATGAGGAGCCTGGCCACTTCCTACGTCCATGACGTACGAACAGCCAATGAGCTGCTTTACTCTCCAACCAATCAGCACTAATGCCAGCGTTCTGTTGCCCAAAAACCGTTTGCTGTAGAAAAAAGGAAACATAAAGGTACGTTTTCTTTGCTTTTTTAGTGCAATACATCCTTCTAATTTCGAAATTTAAAGGAAACTTTTAACTGTTTAGCTCCATTTACCCCCATTCATTGAGGACTTGCTCGCGGGCGCCCTCTGGCGTTTTGCAGTCCTGTTTTTTTGACGTAACAAGGGAAATACGAAGAGGTCCAGCTCCTCATGAACAGACTCTGGTTCAGCGAAGATGTGCTGATCACCAAACAATAAGTACCAGCATATTTAACGTTTTGTTCGATACGTTACGATTTGTTTATCTCCCTGCGGCAGGCGTGACTGAACAGACTTCTGCTATGAGTCCGGACAGACCCAGCCATCATCAGTACACTTCTAGATCTGTGGTTGGTCCAACCTGACGCTGTGCTCTGGATGCTATTCCTTATTGGTTAATCGTGAAGTGTGCTGTGATTGGTCCAACCTGACGCTGTGCTCTGGATGCTATTCCTTATTGGTTAATCGTGAAGTGTGCTGTGATTGGTCCAACCTGACGCTGTGCTCTGGATGTTATTCCTCATTGGTTACTCGTACATTCGCCCCGCCCGCTGAGCCTATTTTAAGGATTTAAGTTCCCTGAACAAATGTGAATATGTTAGACTGGTCCTTGTTGAAGACGTGACAACAGCGAACCAATATGATTAACTGGCGGGTGAGGACTTTTATTTTCCTATATCATGTAAGAATATGGTTGTCGTCTGGGTTAACCGTGTTGAACACCGTGTTTTTTTCTTGGGAGCAGTTCGCTTCTCCCTCTTCAGCCCAGACGAAGTTTGCTTATCTGTAATAGGGTCGATGTGGTCTGTGAAGTGTTTTGTATGTGCCAAGCCTTATCATGTATTTAAATATCTCTAAATCTGTTTATGTCTCCTACAGTAACATGAGCTAACTTAGCTATATTACTAGAAAACAGCACCATAGCTTTCGTGTCCTGCGCTCTGGAACACTGTATTGACTTAAATATTTCAGCTCTGAAGATGTATTAATTCCATATATCGGTATAATGTCAAGGAAAATGCTTGAAAACGCTTATTACACGTGTATAAACAGCTGCTGTGCTATACCGGACGGCGGTTCCCTGCCCCCTCCTCAGATTATATTCTCAGCTGTTCTGGACATTTCAAGAGAGGCTCCAAGAGTCAGCAGGAATGTGTAGATACAAAAGAGTTTACTACTTTTATTTCGAGTACAGTTGGAAGTCTTTTTTAGCATACTGCTTCGTATTCTACCAGGACTGCATTGCCACATGTTAGCATAGCTGAATATTGATCATTAATTGATTCTGGTTGAATATGCATAGGCCTGTAGTTGCTCAGGTGTCTCTAGTGGCGATTCTCTCCCCCTTGTCAGATTATCCTCAGCTGTTCTAGATATTTCCAGAGAGAACATTTCCTGTAATAGTATTTTGGTACTTGTTCTTTATTTTTGACTGTTTTTGTTTTAGGCTTTGGACAATGTTCCACTACTCTTATACATCCTGGCAGCTAAAACCTTGCTGCTGTGCCTTGCCTTTGCTGGAGCTAAACTGTACCAGCAGAAGAAGGCAGAAGCAGCCCTGAAACAGCAAATGGAGATGAAGAGAAAACTCGCTCAGCAAACACAGGAACTCACTGACAACAAGAAGGATGACTAAATGCTGGGGTGCATTGGAGAAAATGGGTCACATGGTAAGCTTTATTGAAGAGAATTATATATGAAGCGAATCAAACTTTAAGGGAACTAACAGTGCCATATTGGTCTGTCATTTTATTACATAATTGCCTGATTACAGTTATTTTTCACAGTTGTTAGCATTCACAATCCTGTGTTTGTCACAACAAGCAGAATGTGTTTCCGCTGTTGGGTTGTAGAATAATTGAATTGTTAATTGAGATTGTTTACATAGCAGTTAATCTTCATCTAAAATTTCATGCGTACTTATTTATGCATACAACAACCAGTCACCTTATTAAGTAGAACTCTGTCTATTTTAGCAGGTCCCTTTACCATATAGGTGCACTCTGTATACCTTGTTAGCCCGCTTTCACCCTGTTCTTCAATAGTCAGGACCACCACAGGGCAAATATTATTTGAGTGGTGAAGCATCCTCAGCACTGCAGTGACACTGACATGATGGTGTCGTGTTAGTGTGTGTTGTGCTGGTATGAGTGAATCAGACACAGCAGTGCTGCTGGAGTTCTAAACTTTAAATGTTAAACTCACCTACCTTGTTGGTCCACCTTGTAGATGTGAAGTCAGAGACAGTAGCTTATTTGTTGGTGCCAGTTTGTGTTGGTCATCCTCTAGTTCTTCATCAGTGGTCACAGGACGCTGCCCACAGGACGCTACTGGCTGGGTATTTTTGGTGGACTATTCTCAGTCCAGCAGTGACACTGAGGTGTTTAAAAACTCCAGCAGCACTGCTGTGTCTGATCCACTTGTACCAGCACAACACACACTAACACGCAACAGTTCATATTTCTCCTTCAAGTATCACTGGACAAAAAATAAGAAATTAAGTATTTATTGTGTATAAAGTCTTTAGTTCAGATGTCTGTGCTATTTGAGCTTGAATGCTCATTTTTCCATTTTTCAAATGACTGTGCTATCACGTGCCTTTGCTGTTGAGAGAAACTGGGGGGGATGTATAATTATATTAGTGAATAATATATTTTAATACAGTTTTTTAATAAACTATATAGCATATAATTTAGTAATTGTGCATTTGTTGCTCTCACTAACAGTAGCTTTTCTTTTTTTTTTTTTCTCCCAGAGATCTGCACCTACCTGTGTTGCCATGCTTCACTCACACACAAAAGAAGTGGTGCCAAACTTGTAGAAGATTCTGCAGATAGGACTGCAGCATTTAACTACTTTACCTACAGCTGAGCTAATCAGTGTGGTGTGTTTTTTATTTTTAGTGTCTTATTTAATACTATTTAATACCTCAACTTTGTAAATAAAAACACTTTTTTTGTACAGGTGTACCAATTTGTTGCTTAAATTTCCAGTGAAAAGGTTTGGGTAGGTGCTCCAGTTTTGTACATTTATCCTTCTAAATCAAATCTAGTATAACCTTAGTTATCATTGGGCTTCAGATAACACTAGATTTCCTAATCAACATTCACTAGTCATCAAATGACACACAACAAAACACAAAAATGCATGCATGAAAGAAAACCTGATAATGTTCAGCCTGTTTTGTTGTTAGGCCATGGTTTTCCAAATACATCATAACACAGCAGTCACTTATTATTTTGGCCATTCTCTGTTCCTCATGGTAGACTGATAGTAGCCTAGAGAGCTTATGGAAAATTGGGTCTCTTAATAAAACACATTTTTACCACCAGATGTCAACATAAAGCAGACTGCTTTGTCTTGTGTTAGGTCAGTGTTTGTCTCTCCAAGCCCAAGAGCACCTCATCATTGTTTTTACCTTTTTTTTAACCAGATTTAACTAATCATATCATTTTCAATTCTTCCATTAAAGCATGTGTTGGAGCAGGTAAAACAATAAATTCTGTGTATTGAGAGTGAAGTGAATGTCTACAAAATTAAATATTAATTTAATCTTTTCAACACTGCAATCATTAATCATAAGCCAGGGGTGTGGCATTTTGGAATAGCTGAGCTTAGTACCCAGGGTCCCTGGATGGAGGAGACTCTCAAGGGCTTGTATATAGTTGATGGAATTATCTTCAGACATTTACAAAAGATGGGAAGAAAGTCCACATAGCATTTGCACAGGGCCTAGAAACTTGACGAGTACCCCACCTAGAATCATCACAACTTTGAAATGAACAGCTTTTGAATGGTATGAATATGTGCCCTGGTTCCATTCCATTCTGGTTGTTTTGATTAGGTTTCCCAGTGCAAACAAATACTGATATACTGAGGGATAAAAATGACCCTGTATGTAATACTTTCGTTCCACACACTTTGCTGTATTACAATTTAGTTTGACACTATTTACATTCCAGCTCAGACAGTGTGGGTCAGGCCTTCACACTTACGGCCACTTCAGCCCTGTAAAATCCTGGACGCTCTATTGTGACCTGTTTTTTTTGTACTAAATACAGTAGACAGGTGGCTTTGCTAACAATGCTATGTGAGGTAGATGTCAGTTCAGCCATTGAACCTAATCATCTCATCATGTTCCAGTGCTGCCTAAACATGTCTCTAAAAGTGCATCTTTTCCAAAAACCTCTTGTCCCAATATTGAGGCATATCTGAACCAATCAAACCCATTCTTTTTATAAAATGGTTAATATGGATTTCATTGGATTAAAATAATCCCTTCAAACTTCATATGAAAAGCTAACGTGAAATTACTTGAATTCCATGACACTTTGTGCTCAGTTCAGATTTTTTTTTTTCCTGGACAGTCAATCAAACTCCTAATCTTCATTATACTACAGGGCAAACTTTTCCTCGCTATATATTGTTTGTGGAGTAGTGCAGCTTCATTAGGTGTATTGCAAAGAGAGAGTCAAAGCAACCAGTAACTTGATAAAGTTAAACTGATCATTGTCAATAAATCTGGAAGACTTTCAATAAAACCAACTAGTCTGTGCCTCCTTTGGCTTTCATAACATTGTAAATTTGACAGTGCATTGATTCTGCAAGATGCTGGATGCATCATGCAGGAATGTTGGACCATACACTTGCTGCACAATGCAATCATTTCTGTATGGCTGTGCAAACTTGCACCAAAATTTCTGGCTTATCTCAAAAATGTTAGTCAAGGTTAATATCTGACGACTAAAGCCACAAATACATGCCTTGTAAGATGGGGATTTCTGGGAACAGTCCCCTTTTTTGGTGGCCTGTCCCCGGCTGGAGCTGTGCCCAGATGACTGTGAATTAAAAACACACCGGAAAGTTCTGAGAAAGACCTGGCAGCGGAGCAGATAGGCAGATTCCTTGTGTTGTGCCTGTTTTGGCCAACAGAGGGCGCTGGCTGCTTCTATCTACTAACCACTTTTACCTCTTGCTCAGGGGTCGACTTCACACTTGGCAAACGTAGGGAGCCGCCTAGGGGCCCCATGAGCCAAGGGCCCCATTAGATACAAAATACTGTATGTGCTCATATTAAATAACCTATTCTAAAATATCCACACATTTTTGAAAAACATGGACTAGTGTATAAGGTGAATAAGAGATTATTTACATTATGGAAAAGAAATTCTTTTGTGTGAATTTCAGAGGGTTGAGGGGGAAAATCTAATAAAGTGATCCAAGTGCAGCAGAAAAACACAAAAAGAGGAAGAAAAGCAAAAAGCTTGTTGCTACACTCCCAAAGTGACCTTTGTTGTTTTAGTCAGAATAGAGCACTGCACAGACTGTATACAATGCCAGTGTTAATGTTAGTTTCATTTTTTTATTTAAAAAACTGGTCACCTTGGAAATCTTGGTCCCCACATTGTAGGATGGTGCCTCATCCTGCTGGAATAAACTGTAGCCATGAAGGGAGAAAATTGGTCAGCAGCAATGTCCAGATATATGCTGTGACGTTCTTCAGTGGCTATCACTGGCCCTAATGTGTGCCAGGAAAACATTCCACATACCACCAAATTGCCACCACTGGTCTATACCGTTGATGACAACAGGATAGTTCCATGCACTTGCGTTGCTAGCGCCAAATTGTGATACCTCAGTCTGCATGCTGCAAAAGGAAGCTTCTGAGGTGATATCATTTCCCCTGCTAAACCAGTCCAGTGCCCACAGGAGACTTTCATGTCCTTTGTTGGCAACGTCAGCCTCTGACATGGTTTTCATCTGATGCACACCAGATGTGATTTGCCCTTCATTCATTAATAATAATAATAATGTTACATTTATATAGCATCCTTCACAATCCCAAGGTCGCTTTACATAACAAAGGGGGGAAAACTCTAAGACTAAGCAGTGAAGGAGGAAGAAAAATGCTCATGAAGGAAAAGTCTTTAAATCAGATTTGAAGGTAGGAAAAGAAGAGCCTCACAGAGGGATTGAGGAAGAAAGTTCCAGAGTTTGGGGACCACAGCACTGAAGGACCTACCTCCCAAAGTAGAAAGTCTGGTGCGTGGGACAGTAAGTAAGTTATTACAAGAAGACCTGAGAGAGCGAGAGGGAGTGTAAAAGGACAGGAGTTCTCTGAGGTAGAGAGGAGCAAGCTTATGCAGGGCTTTGAAAGTGAGTAGTAAAATTTTACACTTTATACAGGACAGGACCAGTAGTCAGTGAAGCTAAGAGAGAATGGGAGCGATGTAAGCTGAACACTTAGCATGGGTGAGAATGCTAGCTGCAGAGTTCTGAATGTATTGTGGCTTTTGTATAGACTTTACAGGGAGACCAACAAAAAGGGAGTTACACTAATCAATACGGAACATAATGAAGGCATGAACCACAGTTTGTGCATCATTATCAGTTAGGAACGGGCGAAGACGAGCAATGCTACATAAGTGAAAGAATGCAGTCTTTGTGAGGAACTTGATATGTAGATCAAAATTAAGTGATGGTTCGGTTTAACAACAGACCATCAATACTAACAGAAAAATTGGGTGATTTTGATAGTAAAGATTTAGGGCCAAGCAGTAAGACTTCAGTTTTATCAGTGTTTAACATGAGAAAGTTATCATGCATCCAGAGCTTTAAATCAGAAATACGATCAGTTAGTGTATTGGGAGGGGAATCTGAGGGGGTATCATCAGCATAACAGTGAAAGGCCATGGCTGAATGATCTGGCCGAGCGGTGAGATGTAGATTAAGAAAAGTAGGGGTCCAAGAACTGAGCCCCAAGGGACACCACATGTAACTGGAGAGGTGGAGGACTTGTGTGGACCTAGTGTGATAAACTGTTGTCTGTCTGTAAGATACTACCTGAACAACTGACTTCATCAGTGATACCAATAGAGAAATGACGAGAAATGAGAACATCATGATTAACAGTATCAAATGCTGCCCTTAAGTTGAGGAGAAGGCGAATACTGAGAGAAGCACTATCAGCAGACCAGAGAAGATCATTAACCACACACAGAAGAGCTGTCTCAGTGCTGTGGTGAGTACGGAAACCAGATTGAAATGGCTCAAAGAGTGCATTATCACGGAGGAATGTCTGGAGTTGGGAAGCAACCACTCTTTCCATTACTTTAGCTAGAAAGGGAAGGTGTGAAATGATTCTGTGATTAGAAAGAGAATTGCATTCAAACAAAAAAAGTTGTGGTCCATTTGCACAATTCTAGACATTCTCCTTTAACTTCTTTGATCTGCAAACTCTTTTTGTCCACAGGATCCCCAATCACTTGTAATTGCTGCTTTTTGCACTGTTCTCAATAAAGCTTTAATTGACTGTGTGATAAACACAGCTATTTGGGAGATGCATAGTGCCGACTATTATGCCATGTTTAAAGCCATTACCTCATTCGTTTTGCACATTTTAGAACTTACTAAACACTAAATGATGCTAGAAATGCTGGTCTGCCTGATTTATACCACACACTGCCATCATGTAGGACATGACTTGTTTGAATGTACAATTTGTGTGAAAGTGGGTTGTACCTAATAAACTAACAACTCCGTGTATATTATGGCTTAGGTGCAGTGCGAAAAAGGCCATACGTAATAATCCGATATAGTTGTAGTCTGGGGAAAAATAACTAATGTATGTTCATATCAAAGTTCATTATTAAATATTGAGTATGACTGCAGTAGTGACTAGGCCACAGGTATGATATTATGGACTACATGCAACCAACATGAGGCTAACAACTTACAAAACAGGTTTCCTTGAAAGCAGTGAGCTCTATACTTCTAAGGGTATATTTGCTTCAGAGTTGGATATATAATAATATGTATAATACATTAGTTTGATTATACATGGAGCAGAGGCACCAGTTTCGGTGGCAAGCAAGTGAAATGAAAAGATCTCCATCTGTTCCACTGGAATCTCATGATTGACAACACATATAATATAGGCAACTCCATCTTCACTTAGCCTG